GCAGTCCTGTCAAAACTAATTTACAATTAAAGACCTGCGCAACTGTTTAAAGCTTTACAACCCTGGCCAGTTTCAAGGACTGCTGAAGCCAAGTGATACAAACCAACCTTATTATTAACAGACAGGTAGACAGACAGAAGGAAGACAGACCAAAAAATACTTTAAATTGTACAGTAACCAGAAAAATTCTACCCTGAAAATGATCTCTTATAAGATTTTGTTCTGTTATAAGCTCATAGTCTGAGAACTAAAGACATTTCAGTGGTTCTAACTTTTCTTCTGATTGATGCATAGGGCACGGGAGCCACATGCACTGCTGTTAGACAGCAAACATTATAAGGGGAAAGAAAAATTCAGTGCAAGGAAAAATGAGATATTTGTTCATTGTAAAAAAGAAAAAAAAAAAAGTGTGCTTAAAACCATTCACAAACAGTTACTTTTTTTTTCTTTTTGCTCCCATAGTAGAGTAAGAGGGTATTAGGGACAAACAGACTTTCTGAAAATAAGATTTTCGCATCAGAAAATCTGCCTGTAGGTGTTTAGTCCAAAAACGGCTGAGGTAGTGGAAGTCTTTCTATGTGCCAAATCTACCCATCAAAGAAATACAACAAATATTTATGCTAGCCCAGACACCAGGAGCAGTGCATTTATGCTAATGTGGCACTGTACCAGTTCTATTACAGTAAGATCATCCTGCTGCTGGGACCAAACTAGCCTGGCTACCTTTGAACACTTTCCCTCAAAATCTTGCCTGATAACACCTCTCCCCCAGAATAGTCAGGCTAAGTAAAACTCCTTTCTTGATTTCACGCTCCAGAGCTTGGAATAATTACTGCTTAAAAAAATATGCACAACCAGTCATGACTCTTTAAGTTCACCAAAAATACACAAAACTTAGCAATAAAAATAAAAAAAATACTGCTTCAGTATCCTAATCCTCAGCGACTGGTCCACCTTATACCTTATGAACATCCTTTTCAGGTCTTGACTGCACATCAGTATATGTGCAGCACTGGTACAGTGCTGACATAACTTCAGGACTTCAAAATGGCCAAACTTTAAGTGGTATGAATGTCAACTGGAATGAGAAAGGTCTTCCTTTGGTTCTAAAAATTAAAGTGGATAAAATCATACCTAGCTTTCCACTCGCCCATTTCATCTGATCACAAGTTCAGATGGGCACAACTGGTGTTCGTGTGTCAAATCAGATCAAGAACACAGCTGCAAAAGCAAGCATTTGGATGAAGGTTCCCAACAAATGTGGAGCAACACTTTCCAAATGAGCCTGTGTCTGACCTAAAACTGTTTGAGCTGTAGAACAAATATATGAGTGCTGTCCATCCACTTTTCTGAGGATGAAAGGGCTGCCAATTCCAAAAAATACTGCTATGCTGACATTTTGCACATGTGAATCCCCTCTTCCTGTGGATGCTAAAGTCAAAAGGGGTCTTGCTGGATTTCACTGTGAGAATGTTTTCTTGGTGGATTTGTATATTTCGTGTTCATATAGAGACTCACACTTTGGAAGTTTTCATGCATTTTAGAATCCCTTGTCACTTAGATCCAAGCCTGTCAACATTCCTCCTTCTACTAGAGCTGTTACACACCTTTCACACAACAGTAGATAATGAATTCTACTCCGAAATTTTCATTTATTCTCTGACAGGGACTGTTGATCCTGTAAGGGGCAACAGATAAACAGCAGAATATTTTCCTAAGAAAAGGAAAGGATGGTGGTGGTAAAAGCAGAAGCTATCTTCTACCATGAACCTCTTAGAGAAGACCTCTTCAAAAGAATGGAGAGAAGATATGGTTTGGGCTAAGAGACACCCCAGATCTGATAAAGTGCATCTGTGATCTGTAAAGGAGGTAGAATAGGAGGCATTCTCATTGCTCTTCCTTGCACTGTGCTCTAGACCAGAGAGCCTGTGCAGCAGGGAAGAGCTTTACCTACATGGAGCTGTGGCTTAAAAGAATAATGTGGCCTGGAGTTAATGGAAATAATATGAAGGTTCTGTTTTAAACTTCTAAAACAAAGACAAACTTGAAGTGAAGGCTAAAACACCATCTCCTAACCTGCTTTATTTCGCTTATGTGTTGCAGTACCACATCTGGTATTGATATATAAGATCACTCACTATTTAGACTACTGCAGTAGAGTGAGTTACAGAGCACCCGTCTTCATTTAGACTGTTCTTGCTTTCTCTGGTTTGTGTCTCAACCTTAATGTCACTCTAACAGAGCTTTCCCCTCCCCACCCCAGTTCTTGGTGGTTTAACAGATATAATACTGTATTTATAGGGCATATCAATGCACGACAGCTTGCCACAGATCATAAACACATTTTTCTGCGGGAAATGTTGAAGTTGTGATTTTCACCACGTGATCTCCAGTTCTCTAAGGTTTGTTCCTTTAATTGTAAATAGCCAGAAAGTCATCAAGCTAGCATTTAATAAACTTTTAATTTGAAATGGATTACCACATGTTGTGTTTGTTTACCCATTATTAAATCTCTTAGCAACATATCACCAGCAGAAACAGCATACTGTAGCACTGCATAGATACATTAAAAAACAAACCCATGGGGGATATTGGCAGCTAATAATAACTTTAAAGAATGCTCCAAGAAAAATAAATAAATATAAGCAATATCAAAAATTCCTCCTAAAAATTTTGTTTGTGCAAATCTGTTTGGCAGGAAAAATACAGATCTTCTATGATTGCTTTATTGGCAAATTTCAGAGGTCTACATGCAAAATATAACATACACTAATGCTCTTTTTCAGTTCTTAAAAACATGTCTGTCTTGACTTTTCAAATGGAGCATCGTGAGTTTTTCCAAGTGTTTCCAAAAAGCATGACCTATTTAGCTGCACCCTCTATGTGCATTTCCAAATGCATGTGAAGACTGATGGATAGACCAAACAAGTTTGATCCATTAAGAGTTTTCCATAATTCTTCACTGCTGATAAGACTCGCCTGCAATTCTACCTTTTGGATCTGCTATTCATGCTTTGCTGCATGTCAAAGCATCTTGCCAGATATGTAGAAGATATATGACAACAACAAAGACCTTAATCCTAAGTATAGTGCATGTTTACACCTCCATGCTTCTCTTATCAGGGTGGTTATATAAAAGCCTTTTGATCACCGTAGAGTTGCTGCTAGCCTAAAAGCAACTCAGGGCAAACTTCATTTTCTTTACCTCTTAAATCACCACTAACTGTCTGAAAAATGCTTTTCCTGGACTCTTTTCAAGTCATGTTTCCAATCTGAGCTGCCCATTTACCATGCTAAATGATTATTGCTTATGTGTTCTCTTTCTTTCCTTTCCATAGCCTCTCCTTTCTGCTCCTGTGCCATCTACAGTGCATCACTACTGCCTTTCTCAAATGCCTGAAGAACTAATTCTCTGTTTCAGATCTGCACATAAAATTCACATACACTAAAATCTATGGGTTGGCTTTAATTCATTAAACAAGAGAGAATATAGAAATATATAGAAATATATAGAAATATATAGAAATATATAGAAATATATAGAAATATATAGAAATATATAGAAATATATAGAAATATGTGTATAGCAAAAATTAATTCTTTTTGTTCATGGCAGTCTAATCCCACATGCAGAAAAAAGAAAAGAACAGCAGTGCCCTGCCATTCTTCTCATTACTGAATTTCTACCAGTAGAGGAGCAATTTGTGAGTCCATTGAAATATGGTCAGTTGTATCCTTAGTGTAGCTATATCAGAATGTTCACAGAGGCCAGGGAGGATCAGTCTAAAATGAACACTCAGAGATTTTTTAAGAAAGCTTCTGGAGAGGTCTGCTGTACACAAGCAAATGATAATTGCCCTTCCTATGGGTTATCACTTGATTGAATCTTAACAGAATTTCAGAGGAGTAACATAAGGCATGCTTCTGGTGCCAGAACTATCTCCCTGCCAAATCTGAAGTCCTTGTTGTAGCCCAGGGAGGTGCTAAAGTTCTTCCAGAAGTACACAAAAAAAGCATCTTTTTATTTTCTCTTCCTGTAAGCTTGGTGCCATAAACAGCTGAACTGTTATTGCTGTGACATTCCAAGCATTATTCAGCCTCAAGCATAGGCCAGCATGGCCATTCCACCCTCAGCAGTGAGGCTGGTTTGAATTGCTCACACCTGAAAAAAAAGTTAAACCACCTTAATAAAAAGAGTCACAGTATTCCTGCTATGGAATGTTGGACCCATATCTGAATGAAGAAAATCTAGCTTAACAAGAACAATAACGACTAGCCAACATTGAAATAAAACTATGGGTTGATCCAATGAAAACCTCAATGTAAACATCAAAGTTTGAATCCATCACCTTGCGGTCCAGACTGTACAACCTTTTCTGAGACACCATTCTTTTCAGCAGTGCTTGAATACATGAGAAGTTCGGGTGGCAGATGAACAGGCACACCAGACTTATTTTGCTTATCTGAATCCTGTGGTAGTTTAATTACCTATGAAGAGAGGAAAAAAAAAAAAAAAAGGCAGTTAGGAATTCCACAAAGCCAAAATATGCTTTTTGTACACTGTTTGTGAAGCCTGGCAGTCCAAGATGCTGCTATAAGAATTTTAGGAAGTTCTTGCTTCTCTGCACTCCTTTTACTACAGTTTTCTCCCATATAATTTTCCCATGTATGTCTTCCCCATGCCTACTGATTAAAGCAGACATCCCAGTAAATGGGAGATAAGCCACAATTCAATTTCCAAATCAAAACGAAAAATATAGAAAAAATTAAACAATTTTTTAACCTACAAACCTGAAAGTAGAGATTGCATAACCAGTTATCCAAGTCCTGGGAAATAAAATTTTCAATTTTTTTGAATCGATCAATTTTGGAGTCATAATGGCCTCTGAGGAAGGGACATTTAAATTTTCCCTCCAAAGCATTAAAATTGTTATCACATAAGGGAAAAGCTCCCCATCCCACTTCTCGATCAATCCAGGTGTAGGTGCCACGAAGAAGGAAGAGTTCAAAGAGGAGTACCATGCCTGGTTTCACAGCACTTTTATGTGGGAGAACCTAGCAAAGGAGGAAAAAAGATTTATTTGTTACAAAAACATCACAAGGGAACTGACTTTCTTTTATCATATAAAGCTCTAGAAACTTCATACCTTTGGTGCAATTTTGCATGCTAAAACAATTAACAACTCTTCCCAAAAATCATATATTTGAACAATTTTCCACTCCAACAAAAAAAGCTGTGCTTTTGCTTGTGTGGTTATTTTATGCTTTTTTTTTTCCTTCCTTGGCTTTCAGAAAGCATTCATTTTCTGTCTTTATTTACCAGCGGTGGAAAAACATTACCACTAGAAATCTTTAAGACAGAGGAACAAACCAACTTGGAAATCTGAGGTATCCCTGTGAGGGCTTGCAGAGATTCACCACTGGATTCATCTTGCTGCAGCTTTGGAAAGTTCATCCAAACACCCAATAAGAACACTTGCAAACGTGCTCCTCACTGAGTCACAAACTCTTCTCCACACGGCTGTGGGAATGATGCTGTTACTTAATAGCCTTCTTCCTTTAAATTAAAGCTCATAGTGGAAAGTATGCCAACCTCAGTGTAGGGTTTAAAAGGATTTTGAGGTAAAAAGTTCTCAGAGAGAACTGGCAAACACAGTTTACTCTCTTCATAAGAGAGATGTTCTTCTGAGCAGCTTGGAGGTGTGGAAGAGGGTTACCAATGCCTTGGGGCCTGGAGCAATTGTGTTCCCATGGCAAAGACTTGAAATCTCGTGGTGAAGAAACACCCTGAAGTAATGAACTTACGTAAATCCCTCTGTAAGGTTTTGGTGGGTACAGAAGAAAGAAAGGTAAACACAAAGAAAAGGAAATCTGGTTCTATGCCATATTTTTAACTGTTTTCTTTAATTAAAGTGGGCATTAACCCAGGTCCTGTTGAACAATTCTAATACATTCAAACGGACAGATAAAACAAAACCCACACAAAAGCCAGAACACAGAAGACGACTACCATCATACCCAGGCTAACAGCTACGAGGGCTAGGCACCTTGGGGACGAGGGGGGAAAATACATCAGCCACACCCCTCACACAGTGAAACATCTGCTTCACCACTGCTCCTACATATTCTCCTGAGAGAACTCTGATTGCCTAATCTCTTAAATAAATAATCCTGAATGCTTCTTTAATAGAGACCACTTTTTGTTATTTGCATGTTTTTCATGTTTTATTGTTCCCATTTCAGTCCTCACAGTTCATAGCAGCAAATGCCTTGGTACACTTGCCTGCTCAACATTACCTGGCCTTCCAAGGCAGAGAAAGAGGAGCCTTTTCTCCTTCTCACTGTGAACAGACACATACTTGCAGAAGGCCACAATACTCAGGAGAATCCTCTCACTCTGAATGTCCTCAATACTTCTTGGAAGTCAAGAATAAGACCTCCAAATAGAAGAAATCCATTCAAACCAATCAGCCACTATGAACATCCTAAAATTCCATAGTCTTCTTAAATTAGCAGGGATTTCCTCAATCAGGAAACATCGTGCAGCCAATAATCATCCACAAATCTTTAGTACTTCATATATTTCTGTATGTGATTATACACCTCGAAACAGCTCTTTCTTGATGTGTATATTTGAACACAAGCATCACTTCTTTTATACTCCTGACTGAACAGTAGGTAAGATAGCAAACATAACTCAGGTGCAGGCAAGCTTTTTGTCTCTTTTTCTGAAGCAGCAAGGGATTTGCCCACACAAATAACTGCCGTGTTAGGAGATGACAAGTGTTCACAGTTGTGCTGCATTCGACAATATTTTTGAAGAGGTGAATATAAATTATTACTTCTAATAATATGCCTTCCTTTTTCGAATTTTATATTGTGATTAGATAATAACAAAGTCATTTAAGGAAATATTTTAAAATTATAAATATTGTCATTATTATGTACATGTACTTTATATTAATTATGTAAATATATTCTAAGACTTAGTGTAGGCTTAAAATGAAACAGAAGCATCTGTTGAAAAATGCCATAACCCTGTGGCAGCTGCTATTAAACCATTAACAGTATCAGGTTTCATTTAAACCAGATTTACCATTTTCTGTAACAGCCCGTGGGAAAGCTAAAAACATTAGGCACAAATTACTGACAAAAGAGATCCTTAATCAAGCCATACATTTCATTTGGCTAGCTGGGTGCTAGATAGTAACCTCTGCACTACAAATTAAAGGTGATGGTTACAAGGCTGTGATCAAAGACAGTTACCTACAATATCGAACAATCCCAAAGCATTTGCAGATTAAATCATCACTGTATCACAGCACCCTTTTCAGTTTCTCTCTTGCTTCTTAGGCTTACTCTTTTCTTAAGATTAACTCAACAGTATATGCTCTTCTGCTAGTTTACATATAAACTGACAGGTCAAGCAGCTGGTGTAAGGGTAATCATTGTCACAATTAAAATTTTATTTCTTTGGTTTTGGTCACAGTTATTCTTCATTTTCTGTAAGCTTTTATCTTGGACCTAGACTGCAGACTCACTGGAAGCATCCATTTTTTTTACAGTTACAGGAGCTAGGTGTTTAAACGACACCATGATGGAAACACATAATCACAAAACATAAGCAAGGACTTTATAATATACCCATCTGCCACAAGGTCTGAGGTTGCAAAGACTGTTTGGAGCCCTTATGCATGAACACTGGGTGCCTGACCCAGGTAGGACAGTGTCACACATCTCAGCTTACACGGTTAAATAAAACACACCTGACAAATAAGAAATTTCTTTCTCTTGAATCCATCCAAAAATCTCAGCCAAGCCTCTGTTACTCTATGCCATCATCCCAAGCATTCATGCAGGTGCCTTTGTGTCCACACTAAAGCTTTCCCATTGCCACAACAAACACACTCTCTGTCACAGCTCACTGTCCCACAGAAGCCCTGGGAGAGAGGATAGAGCTCGGTCCTCTGGCACCTGCCCTTCATTAGCCTCCTCCCAGGCTGTGAGCCTGAGCTGGGATTTGGGGCAGGGCCAGCACGGCCCTTAGGCATGGATGCACAAAGACATTTAGCCAGATAGCTCAGATTGAAATCCACAGCCCTTAAATGCCTGCGTGCTCTGTGGGTCTGAGCTGTTGTGCTCAGGTACAGAGCAGGGAACAGCTCAGGTAGGTAGAGGAGGAGGATGGGGATCAGTTATTGCTCCCTTTCAAGAGACTCAGAGCAGTGCCTGGGATAGACAAGGCACGGGCAGCTCAAACTGAGCAGTTTGTTCTGATGGATTGTTTTGTTTCTGAAGAAATAAAATAAAATCAGCAGTTATATTTTCCCTGCTGGTGCCAACCTCATTTGAGGCGCTATCTGGTAAATTAATCCACAAGCCTTCACCAACACTGTTGACATTCAAAGAGCATTTACTACTTAAGGACAGCTTCTTGGGTTTTGAGGGGTCTGCTCTCCAACACCTTACCTCAATGTTTCTCCTTGCTCAGGTCAAATTTCCACTGAGGTCTGAGAGCTATAGAGACTTTTACAGTGCTATGAAAGCATCAAGCATCCCCCTTTTACTGGGGTAATTTCTTCTGCAAAGAGAGATGCAGCAGGGAATAAATAATGCTTGTGTGTGCCTGCACAGGCACAAGTAATACTTCTTAGTCTGCAGTTAACAGTGTTGCATTTAATTGAATTAAATCATAATGAACTAAAATTATCTCCTGCCACTATTTCTGAATTCAACTGTTTTATATCAGTTTTATTGTAATATATCTTACTTCCCCATATGCCACCATAGTTTCACTCTATAGAGAGAATGAATTCTATTTGAATATTTCAATAAACATATCCAGTATGAGCTTTTGGGGGTTTTTGTCTGACTTACTCTTGGGCTTTAACCTTGTCAGAGAAGAAATAAACTTTCTTCATTCCTCTGCACCTTCAAATTTTTTAATTTAGGAAAAAAAAGTGGAAAAAGTCACACCACTTAATTCCTATCACACAAAAATTTGACCAATACAACTCAAACAGATTAAGGTGAATTAAAATATGCAAAGGCAACTCAGTATTTACTTATTATAGAGAAGACTCTTGAAAAATGCCATATAAACTAACAGCCCATAATTTCTGATTATGAAAACTGCAGCACACGAATGTCACTGGTTTAAAACACAGGTAGAAAACCTTTTAAACAGGAAACAGTTCCCATCAATAACAAATAAAAATTACTTTACTATGTCAAATGAATAGAGCTGGAGATGAGGCTGTTATTGCCCAATTAAAGGGGAGATTTCACAACCAAATTTCAAGCTCTCACTGTTTATGTGCAAGGCCAGCACACAGGCAGAGAGAAGGGCATTCTTAGGAAGTGTTTGTGTAACTCTGAAATTTATAAAAGGCCAGAGGGGAGGAAATAGAAACATGGACTGAAGTAAAAATAAAATATCATGTTATTAGGGTTTTTCCAAAAGTCCCTATCTATCACCAGAATGTTTTGGAATAGCTGAAAACTTATTTGCCCAGCTTTCCATCACTGCCTGTCTTCGAACAGGTATCTGAATACAAAATAACACACAAATCAGAGGACGACCATACAGTGACATGTCATTCATTTCCCCACAATTTTTTTTTCCCTTTTCTCCAAGAGAATTGGGCCTTTCAAGCCTGGCACAGGTCAAATGACTCCCTGAAGCTTTCAGGTCTCCTTAAGCCTTTAAGCAGCACCACCATCTTTCCTGGTGCTTAGCTTCCCTGATAGCAGTAGACTGTGGACCAGAAGCTGTTGGGCCACAGCACACGAGCTCAGGCTCATAATCTGCCAGGAGCACAGGACAACAGTATTTGTAAGGAGGCAACTTATTCACTGCTTTCAGTGGTGGCAGAGAGCAGGATTCCTCCTGGCACGCTGTGCCAAATCACCCCAGCATCTTCCCAGAGCCACACTGAGTGCCCCAACGCAAACACCTGCCCTCTCCCATGCTACCAGAGCACTGACAATTCCCATTGCCTGCCTCTCCTCTAGTCCTGATAACTCAGCCCACAGTTAACTACACAGCATCTCAT